GTTGCTTTGTGGCATAGGGACAATATTTGTTCAGTGTAAAGAACTTGAGCCTGTGGGTCAGCATAAGTGCCCTCACCAAGAATTTGAACTTAGGAAGTCTCAAGTCCTTTTGCTTTTCCTTGTTCTAAAATTTTAGTATCTTCCCTGAAATAACATTTAAACATCAGTTGAGGCCCGTCATCCAGAACTGCTGAAACCAACTAAAACCAGTCATATGGTGTTGCTTTAATGCTAGAAGCCCATGTCTTTACCATCTCCCTAACAAATGTGGGAGCAATGCAAGCCATAAGTTACTACTGCTTGCTTAATTTTTTTTAGATCATTCATTCCTGTAGGTTTCCATCTACCTCCTTTGAATCCTTTTGGGCTTTTAGAACTTGATGCTTTGTTAGAGTAGATTACAGGGCAGGAAGTTAAAACCCTGGGTACATCATCTCTGGTGATGTTAAATCCTGTTCTTGTACCTTCTTTCCCTGCTCATCAGCTTCAATAATTTCCTCAATTGTCTCAAATAGTTTTACTACTGTCTTTTCTAAGGCCTGAATCTCCTGCCCTGTATATATGTCTAGTAATTTTATTGAAGCATCTAGCCTCTAGTCCTCATTCTACACATGTGATGCCAAGGTTTGAAGTTTTCCCTTTAAAGATAACATCTCATCTTTGGGCATTATTTTTGATAGCATGCCAATTTCCTTTCTGCTAACCAATCATAACTTTTTAAGAAATTTTGAGTGACAAATTCAACAGTATGGATTCTTTTAGATAATTTCTCAGTTCCCTTTGACATGGATTCAATTTTGTCTGTCAATGTAATGTTACCCATTTCAATAGTATCATTTTTTCAGCTAACTTTTGATTTTTGATGGTATTAATCCTGTCAGCTATCTGTTCATTATTAGTATAAAAGTGCCTCATTCTTGACTCTGTCATCAAATCAATTCCTTAAAGATATAATATAAAGAAAAAAATTGAGTCCCAATATCAAATAAATGAATGTATCACAATAACTATAACTAAAATAATAACTTGCAGCATGTAATCCATAGTATTAGCAAAAAAGTTACTAAAACTTTCAATGCTAATGTTGTTTGTAATTATATAACTTTCAAGTTTATTGATTTATTAATTACTTGTTATGAGGTTCGGTAAATTGTTTTAGGTGTAATAATCTTTACTGTCCAGCAGGTGTCATGGTTGCAGAGTTGCAACTAGTGGTGGCAGAACCAATGTTGCCAGGCACAGTCCAGCACCACTTTCGTTTCCTTCCTTGGTGCTGGGTTAATAGAAAGAAATATACTTTGCTTGACAAATTATGAGCAAGTAAATCAATTCCATACATAGAGCAAGAAGCCCAGAACTCACAGTCAGAGAGCACAAACTGGAAGCTGCACAGGTTGCCACACAGCAGGGAATGCAACAGGTGGGAGAGGGGGTAGGAATTGGGCATGAGCTTGGACATGCAGTAAGCTCTTCTGTGGTGGGGGTTTTACAAAAACTGCTTAGTAAGTAAAAGCAAGCCAAGTGGGCAGGGGTGGGAGACTTTCTGGGCTGTTGACCAGTTAGGCCATTAACTTGATAGGTGTGGAATTTGGATCCATGTGGGTGCCAGATGAAGATGGACACTAAAAAGAAATCCCACAACAGCTCAGAATTGAGTATAATAAAGGATTATATATTTAGGGGTAGACTCACAGATCACAGTCCTCTGCTCAAACAGGGAACAGCAACTGAATCACGCAGCCGGAAGACAGAGATGCACACATTACATTGGCATATATAGTATAAGAGGCCATGCCCAAGTGGGCAGGTAACTTAAAGGCTACTGGCAGTAGGAATTCCTACAGCCGATTTGGATACAACACATTCTCCCAGCAACAGATCAGAAAAAATGGAAGATGTCCCGAGAGAATGTGAAACTGTTTCCTCCATGGTGGTATTTGAAAACCTGCCAGAGAAAGTGACTGGCATAGTCCTGACCATCCTAGTGGAGAATATAAGTGGCTTCCCCAGTGATGACTTTAAGGTGAAGTGATCTGAGATCTTGACGTCACCGTAGTTACCTTTCAAAAGCCTAAAAGTAAGACCCAGGGAGACCCTGCATCCCCTGGCTTCTGTCCACCACACCCCAGAGTTTGGGACATCTCTGAGTATTTGACTCTTTGTTGTATTGTGCAACCAAGGCCTCTAAGCCAATAGAGGTGCCTTTCCCCTCAGATTTTTGAAAGATGAACAAATTCAGTTTGAGATTCAATTTGGGTCTGTTTAGTAAACTGCCTTTTATTACATGATTGTTTGAGTGCATGGGGGAAGAAATATAAAGTCCCAGGCGATTTTAAATGGAGGAGTTGGAACTCTTACTCTACTTCCCCAGGAGGAGTTAAGACTGGCCTGTCACCACGCCACACTTCTGTAAGGCAATGATGCCAACAGACTTACCCTAGTGCTTAGTGTCAGGCACCTGCCCGTCTCTGTTGTGTTAATTTATTCCTTCCTTTTACAACCCTGTGACGGGGCTCGATGTTGCCAAGAGATGGAGGAACTGGAATTAAACCTGGGCAGCCAACTTCCACTCCCCTTTTCCCTATCATTTTACCACACAGCACTTCTCCTTGGTGTAACCCTTTCATGGTCACACATGTGGAGATGAGGGAGCCCACTTAACGGGGAAAATGAGTGCCCCAGCCAGCAAGATGGTAGAATGGACAAAGGCACTGTGACCAAGTCTGACAGCCTGAGTTTGATCCCTGGAACCCATACAAGTTGCCCTCCAAACTCCAGATGCATGCACACACATGCACTGGTATGTGCACATGCATAAACATGAAAAAGACTCTGTTAGGTCATTGTCATAAGCAGGGCCCAGCTCCACCTAAAACGGAAATTTTTCAAATCTAAACCCCATGTCCCATGGGCACAGCAGTGGGTGTCAGTCAAGCACAGGGGGTATGGTCAGAATTCTGGTCCTGTAACTTAACTAGTTACAAAGATGACCAAGTTATTATTTCTCTAGTCCTTACCCACTCATTCATAAAATGGGAATGGTCATACTTACTTAAATTCTTGTGAAGATTACTAAGATACTACCTCAGGCGTGATAAGGATTTGATAAAGGACACTTATTTCAAGTTTATTATTCTTTATTATAAACAGAAATTTAAAGATTTGTTTACTTTATGTGTACCTGCCTGCATGTATCTGTGTATCACATGCATGCAGTGCCTGAAGCAGCCAGTAGAAGGCACAGAATTTCCCTGGAACTGGAGTTTCAGATGGTCCTGGGCTTCCAAGTGGATGCTGGGAACTGAATCACAGTCCTCTACAAAGACAGGAAGGGCTGTTAACCTCTGAGCCATCTCTCCAGACCCATAAAGGGAAATTTAAATTGAAATGATCTTGTTTCTGTTCATTGAGCAACAATCTTGAGTGTATTCTGTGTTAGCTTCGGTTACTGTGACAAACACCTGAGGTCATTAGCCTCCAAAAAGAGAGGATTGTGCCATATCACAGTTTGGGTGGTTTCAGTTCATGGTCGGTTAGCCCTGCTGCCCTAAGGCTTATGCTACCCTGGGGCTTATGGAGAGACAGAGAGATAGAGAGACATAGAGAGAGAGAGAGAGAGAGAGAGAGAGAGAGAGAGAGAGA